ATATATAGGGTGGTTCCGAGATAGTAGGCCAAAATTCCTGAAGCAAAAATATTGCGATTTAGTCGAACTTACCTTAGTCCAAAAGTTGATAGTTGAAGACATACAGGCTGTTAAATGTAAAATATTATTTTAGTATTTTTTCATTTGTTCCCTAACAAATGCAAATATCCTCATAAAATTTTAGGGTTTGGAGTTCTATAAGTAAAGGAATTGAAATCTGTTCACATTTTGGTTAAAATTCATAGAGAGCAATAGCTGCAGTAGATTGTATGTGTTAAAAACAACAAAACTTTTTTATACTTTAAGGTATCTTTAGTATCACATTCTTATCTTCCAACTTTTTTTACACAAAAAAGGTATCCTTTATGAAACTAGCTGTCTCCCACCGTTTTCGAGATATTTGGGTTTGAAACTTCCAATGACGTTGAATTAAATTACAATTAAGTACCTACCTATTACTTGGCTGGTAAGCAATATGGCGAGAATAAATCCTTTTATAATACTCGACGGAAGAATTTATACAAACCGCCTTTTATGGCAAAAAATATTGGTCAAAGATCATATGCTTATTTGGCTATAAAATTACCTGATGTCTTGAAAATTATTAAGTCATCAAATTATACTTTAAAAAGGAAATTAAAACTATATATATATTAGAAACTCTCAGACAACTAATTCATAGCTTTACAGAAACCAGCAATAATTAAATGAGGATATTTTATGTGTATGTGTGTGTATGTATATATGTATTATGTATGTATATAGTTATATATGTCAGTGTATGTACAAAATAATTATGTCAATATATGTCTAAATTTTTCTTAAGTTTATTAACTGAGTGTACCATACGATGATATATGATATATTGTATGTTAATATTGTATAAAATATTGTACTGTATTGTTGTTCTCGAAACAAGTTATTACTTATCGAGTATATGTTTTATTACTTCTTTATGCTTTTTCTTGGTATTAAGATTAGATTCTAAAACTGATTGTTGTATATTGTTGGAAAGGATGTAGCATAGGTAAATAAACATTATTATTATTATTATTATTATTATTAATGATATAATATACCTAATTAAGTTTTTCCTATTCCTAACAGTACTGTTTGGGCTTGGTTGTTATGATTTTAATTTGTTATTTGATATAATATTACTTATTTGTTCCGACTGGTACAACCTTGATCGTGATCGTGTGCAGACAAGGGACGGATGAACCGACCTTTTTTTTTGTGGTTCAGGTGCACCTACCCCGATTTTGAACTATGTGCACTAAACTATGTTCAACAGGTGCGCGGTTCGCTCTACACCTCCCTAGAGTAGACTACAATGGTAATATACATATGACCATTGAAAGTATACGAAACGCAGGGCAAGTATAGTTCTTCGGATATCAGTTGAATCTCATCAAAAAAAAGACGGCACATGTAAAAANGACAATTACAAAACTTTTCTCATTAGCGTCGTCTAGCGTTGCGCAGGAAAATATTATTATTATTATTATTACTATTATTATTATTATTATTATTATTATTATTATTATTATAAATTTAGCGATAAGTTTCTTAAGTTTGGACGAAAATCAAATAATTGACGTTTTCCATTTGTCTTATTGCTGTCATTTGTTTGCTACTTTCCATTGAGTATTAGTCGTACTAATTAAAATTACACCTTAGTTTATAATTGTATGTACATAAATGTGAAATAGAATGTCGAGACTTCCGTTTTTGGGGTTACATGAAAGCAGTTGTTTATGTATAAACCATAAACATCTGGGAAGAACTTTGGCAGCAGGTTTTAAATGCTGCAGTCATTTCGTGTTAAGGATTTATACTTTAAATAATCTGCGACAGCTAGCGTCCTCTATGAAATATAACCAAAATGTGAACAAATTTCAATTCCTCTGCCCAAAGAACTCCAAATCCCAAAATTTTGTGTGAATACTTGCATTTATTAAGAAATAAATGAAAAAAAACTAAAATAATATTTTACATTTAACACCCTGTATATTCTTAACTATCAACTTTTGGACTATGGTAAGTTTGCTTAAATCGCAATATTTTGGCCCATTACCTCGGAAGCACCCTGTATAAACGTGCCATACCTTAAAATCAAATGTTGTACATTGTACATTTGAAGCAAGAATTTTGTTTTGAACGTTGTAGGATAAATGAGCTCGATGGGGCGGGGTCGAGCGGGACTATCGCCTTTACCCACACCATTCTACAGAATGGCATGGGTACAGGCCCGGATGTTCACGCCATCTTCAACTTGACAGCAATAGCACGGCTTGTTTTACATTTCGATTTCAATGATTCAAAGTGTCAGTTCTTACTGAATACCACACGTGCATAAATAATACCCATTCAAAACTCCGGATATAATTTAAATTAATAAGTAAGGTAATATAGGTGGAAATTAAAAAAGTTCAAAAATATAGAATATTACTGTATAATATGATATTAATACTTCAGCAACTACGGTATTATCCCATCAATAAATTTCAAAAAAAAAGTTTTTTTTTCATTAAATGAAATAAAAAAACATGGAAATTATACCTTATTTTTTTGTAGTGGTTTCTAAGACGATTTTCCTTTATTTTATGGTTTCTCACTGTACGGTCTGCAGCAGTTTGTGTCTGTCTGAAAACATGAGTATGTGCCAAAGTGGTCATCAATCACAAAGAAGATTGAAAGATTTCGTATCGCGAGAGACGATTAACGATGTGTGAATGTTCGAAAGTTATTTACATATCTCTGGTATTGGTATCGATTAGTCCAAATAAATTACAAGTATGAACGTCTTTGAAAATTTCCAATGTAAATTTAAACAAGTAAAACAGTGCGGAATAGCTCGTTTTCCGTATATGCGTTTATAAGTAAATAATCAAATACCGTGATATCTCTTGTTTACCTTTGGTAAATATTACAGATTTGTTACCATTTATAGGAATAGGAAGATATGAGGACTACTACCTTCGTGAGCAAAATATAGGCAGTTGAGTGATATTGTTTTCAAATGTTTACTATAAGTCTTAATCTTTTTTATTTTTAGCTGTACAAAGCGTTGTTCATCCGCTTCACTTTTTGATGCACTATTTTCAGTACCAGCATAGATTAATGCTTAGTCCATATAAAAATGCGATTTAAGGGCAAGTCATCTCATCTCTCTCGCATACCTATCTGCTTATTAAGGCGGGGTACATTCTACAAATGACTGTGTTAGTACTACTACGGAAATTTTGCTAATGTAAATTAGTTAGTAGAATTAGTAGAAAATACAGTTTAGTATCAGTAGTCATATAAGCAACGGTCTATGAAAAATAGATGTGGATGAATGTAAAATATAGCGAACGACAAACAGCTTTTTCTATTGAAAAAGAACTTCCAATGTCGGGAAAAGTAATTCGAGCTATTTATAAGAAGTTATTGAAAATATAAGAAAGTTGATTTTATATACTGATTATTTCCGACCTCTTTCAAAAAACAACAGATACGCCTTTACATAATGAGGCCCAAATCAACTGTCAGGACTTTTTAGATGGACTTACAAAAACTCGTATTTTATTTCGTCACTATGTTAAATTACGGTTTAAAACTTAACTTTTTGAAATGCTACCAAGAAAATGATAATTTCTAAATAAAAAAGTAATTAAAATGAATTTAATGAAATATATTTTAAATCAGCTTCACATTGCAAACCCCAGAATGTTAATGAAACTACTTTTGTTTCTCTAATAGCCTGTATAATAACGACGAATATTCTTAGCAAGGAATATGTCAAACTGGGTAGAAAATATACATGCTTTTCATGAATAGATATCGATCTATTGTTAAAAATGTAAAAAGGTACAAAAGCATCTTCGCCTTCGAAAGAGTCATTCGCATGAAGTCACAACAACACTGGGAAAGAGAAATCGGCATAAAAATTGTTTATTTCAAAGAAATATACGTATTATGGAGTAAGTACTTGACTTCATCTTTACCTAACTTTAGAGTATTGAGGCCTTCAAAAATGGAGGAATTAAATGAAAACAATAATTTAGTACCACTTTTTATTTTATTACAGCTGTTCAATGTTCAAAATGGCTCCCATTAACCATTGAATGCCCAATTCGGTGTTCAAAGTTATCAATTACCTACATTTTGAATAACATTTGGTGTTTCGAACTTCTTCTCTGATAAGATTTTTCAATCGTTCTATAGTGTCTGGTCTGTTCACATACACTTTGCTTTGTAGATAACCCCACAAAAAAATCTAGTGGGGTTAAGTCAGGGGAGCCCATATCATAAATATCAATTTTATTAATAATTCTTTAAAATGAGCCATCGTTTATTGAAATCGATTAAGGCATTTAGAAGTTATGACAATTTAAAAATTTCAAGATGCCATCCTTCATACTGGTGTTGCTATGGTAATAACAAAAAAAGTTCAAACAAAACTTGTGAAGGGTTTGACAGTGTATCTAAAAAGTGTATTTTCAACTTAGGTTATATATAAGCGAAATTTCGAAAAAACGACAATTTTCTGTAATACTAAAGCAGTTGCGCCCCTTAGCGGTGAAGTTACAAGATTGAAAATTTTTTAAATCAATTTCTTTTGGCCGCATTTGTTTACCCCACGTGTAGTTTTCTATGTACAGCCGCTCCGTACCGTTAATGGATCACCCTGTATAGTTCTACATTTTTTTTCACCAACAACACTAAAAAATTCTACTACTTAAAAAAGACTTTACCTAATTCCAATGTGAAGATTGTATTAAACATATTATTATCTTGTAATATAAAATGGTGATTAAATAGTATTGAAGAGGTTGTTAATATTTTATAGCCAGCATGTGGCGATTTTATATTTAAAAATATGGGTAAAGTGATAATAAATCATGAGACTACATAAGCTTTAAACTGTTGTAGATATTAAAATAAACATTAATTATTTCCGTTAGTTTGGTAGATAGGCAAGAATATCAATATTTTTACAATAATTAACACATAAATACTTTCAATACGTTAGTTTATTATATGTAACTTATTCCGTATACACTTCAACTACCACATCAATTCCATTTTTAATTGTGGAGACTAGCTGAAGACTTACATCGCCTTCCTTTGAAATTCCAATGGCAGTTAGTGAAAGAACGCCTTTCGATTCACTAGCAGCGAATCCAGTCACCTACGACAAAAATCAAATATCGGTCAAGAACAACAAGTTATTATTGCGTTAGTGATATTTTACTATACTCTCCCCGTCTATCAAAAATAAATATTAAAAGTCATCACTTACCAATATACAAGTGGGGACTTTTCCCTCTGTTTTCAAATCAATCTCTTTCGAAACTCTTCCGAATAATGGTTTATCTCCATGTACAACACCGTTATAGACCTGTTCCTTTCTGCAAAAAAAATCGATAAATTTCAAAATTTTAAGTGCTTTTTTAATAATAATAATAAATTGTCTTTATTGAATCCTCATATGTCAATACATTAATTGAGCATCATATAATAAAAAAGTTAATACAATTCATCTTGTGAGTAAGGCTTAATAGATGCAATCTCTGAGTGTTTACAAGGTTAAGATAACCGTTATTTCGAATTAAGTATCTCACCCTTCGATCTGACACCGTACGCAAACCTAAAGCAACTGTTCTGAATGCTCTGTAAACGTATTATATCAGTACATAGTAGGGTTGACCCATAAACGCAATCACAATATGACAATCTTGAAAAAAATTAGAGAAACATATGTTAATTTTTAAATTCGAGCTCATTATACTCCTATGAGGGTAAAGTTGCTTTAACGTATTATAATATGAGCGACAAAGAGTATTATTACATGTTTAGTGAATCTCAACTCGTCATCAAACAAGATTTTTACAACTGTCAGCAACGTCTAGCACAGTGTTTCCCAATTTAACATTGATCTGAGATTTTACGCTGCATCTTTTCTTTTTGAGACCAAATACTAAGACCTTGGACTTATTCGGATTCAATTGTAAGCTGAGAGTGGTTGAGATATTAAGTAATAATGTTAAATCGTTATTGATGACATTATTTGAAGAGTTTGCATCTCCTACAAGAAAACTGTAATAAACTTGTGAATCGTCTGCGTAATGATACACTCCACGGGTTTAAATATTTATAAAAGTCGCAATATATAAGGAAAACAGCAGAGGCTCCCATATGGACCCCTGAGGTACCCCATGAGCCACCGGCAAAGTGTTGGACATATTGAGTTATATATTGACATATATTGAGTTCACAACAACTTGTTGTGATCTCCCGGTCAGATAGCTACGAATGTAGGAGGAAGCGTGATGTCAAAGCCAAAATGAGTGAGTTTATCGCATAAGATATTGTGGTCCAAGGTATCAAACGCCTTGCTATAGTCTAAAATAATGAGACATGTGACTAGATCCTTGTACCTTTAAGGATTTCATCAATAATATGATCCAAGGCAGTAGTTATACTGTGCAGCTGCCTAAAGCCAGACTGAAAAGGTGGAATTATATTATTATCAAGAGCAAATGGTGATATTTGCGAATTTATTTAATCACTTTAGAAATAGTAGGCAAAATGCTTATCGGTCGAAAATGTGCCAGTTCAGATGGATTAGATAATTTTGGGGAAAGGAAGAACATTAGCATTTTTCCAAGCATGAGGAAAAGTAGATTTCAGAATTGATATATTAATAATGAAGGTGATATGATTTATAAGATGAGGTATAACAAGCTTGAGCATATTTAAGGGGAAATAATCCGAGGCAGTAGAATGACTTTTGATCATACTAACATATTTGACAACATCTTCAGTGCTAATAGTATGAAAATAAAAAGTATTTTGCGAAGGTGAGGCCAAATGATATTTTTCTAGAAGCTTATTCTGCTCAGGTGAAGGCAATAAAGTTGAAATACTGTTAAATAATTTATTAAAAGCATTAGAATCCTTCATGTTATCGGAATAGTCGAAAACGCGAGAATCAGAAAGAATATCAAGAGATCTCAGAGTATTCCAAATAGATTTACTATTTTTATTTTTTACGACATGTTCCAGTTAAGCCTTTTTTTCTCTACGGTAACACAATTTCTCAGTTCCTTATAATAAGTCGAATCTCTACCTAGCCGTGACTTTTTATGCCGAGAATAAGCCTTGTCCCTCAACTTAATCATTTCTCTGATGATGTCTGTTAGCCATGAAGCACGTTTTCTCGTTACTCTTGCAGTGCGAAGGGGACCATGCGTATTAAAAAGCTCATTCAAATTAAAATTTGGGAATTCGACCATAGCATCCACGCACCGCAAAGTGAATATATAGTCCCAGTTTTTTGATATTTTATTATTTTAATTTCAATTAGTTATTTTTATAATCGGTTAATCCCACTCGAACATAGTAGAATATAATAAAGGTAAAACTTACGCAGCGGACGGATCAGGACAGAATTCTGGACCAGCCAGAGCCTGGGCAACCAGAGCAACCAAAGCGAAGAAAACTACTTTTGAAAACATATTTCTCAAGTATTAATATGCTTTTGTTAAAACAAAATGTAAACTGTGATCACTAATTTCGTCTAATCCCTTTATATAGCACAAAAAGAAAATTATCTACAAAGTATTTTAAGTGTACATTCTGAGATAATGACGGTACAAATAATAAAAAAGAAACGTTGTCATGCCGTACATAAGAGGGTACTCGTATTTAATAAAAAATAATGCAAGTCCAAGAGCTCAGAGCAACAAAATTCATAGATTTATAAGAATGACTTGAGTTCAGTTCAGTTGTGAAAGGATTGTACAAAAAATGGATTTATTGGCCAAGTTATTTGAAAACATAAGATAATTTTCGCTGGGACAGGGTTCTGTAAATCTATCCACTGTGCAGTACTACCAGTAATTAAGAAAAAATATTTTGTTGGCATACGAACCAAAGATGTGGACACACAACAAAATAGTAAAATCTTTATAATTTTGTACAGGATTTCCTACACATAAGCTCCAGTTTAGCGAATTTCGAAGGACATTTTCTCGATTTTTTTAAATAAAACACAGGGTATATTATTTTATTTGGGGATTAATATGTTAAGTACCTACAACTTTTGTAAATAATACCCTATGCCTAAAATCATTGTTTTCTGAAATATTGGCACTTTTCTAGCAAAACCCCTTTAATTTTGCAAATTTTACTTTTTATTACCCTAGTAGGCCATGAGTTTGACATAAAAGAACAAAATCTGCAAGTTTACTGTTGTATAATTCAAAATATTTTAAAATGTGAACTTTTTTAAGTATATCACTCCCATAAAATATTTCTTTTCAAATCTTTGTAATAAGGGCAGTGGCGGCACGTGAACATTGATTGAATGTGTTCTGCTTAGGGTTGTTACATTTGTTGAATTGAATTCCGGGATATTAAGTACCCGGAGAGTCTCTAAATGACGCCGCAGGCGAAAAATTTTAAAATTTTCAAGGTGCGCATTTTCCTGGCACTTCTGAATTTTAAGGAGCAATCCATTTATACAAAAATACAGATTTTCACAAGAACGATTTTTGAAATTGATACCTTTTTGAAATATTTATTCTTGAATTACCTGCTGACGATATAAATAAATTGGAATAAACTAAATACATATATTTTATTAAATTATTGACTATTGTTTATAAACAAAAAGATCGTTTGTGAAGTTTACCAATGATTCAACGAATTTTAATTTTCCTCTCCGTGTTATGATTTTATCTTTATTTTTTTTTATATATATGTACATATATTATATTCCGGGAGATTATACGTGCAAATCCGAAATCCGGGACCCTACAGCTAATTCCCGGTACAATCACAGAAAATCCCGGTCATACCCATGTGGCTAGATGTTCTTTTAATATGTCGTCCAGATTTGCACTAAAATTCATAAGTCCACGAAACACATTACACGGGTTGTCCGAATTTTCTGTCTCGTCGTGTCCGCGAAGTGCTAAATCGAAAGCAACGCAAAATGTTTTGCAATCTATGATTTTAGATAATACATACCGATTTTTCGTTACCTGTTCATTGAGTTTCCGTATATTATCCCAATAGCCAGAATCTAACTGAGTTCTTATGTTTATTTTACCTAATGACTTAAATGATTTAAATCTTTCACACTGTATGTTGCCCATGCTTTATCCCCATCGAAAAGTAAGCACGGAAAACAAAACAATGTATTTTTGATATCACACCCGCACGCCCACTCTGCTTTTGTGTATACATTACTGTTAAATTGTCTTTTATAACTTTTACTTCGGCTTGTTCCACTAACTTCAATATTTAATTGTGGTGTTGGCCCACCTAATTCTTTTATTTTTAGTTTATCCTCATAAGGCAGAGAAACAAATAAAGTTTTTATAAAAACGAAACGCTATTCATTTTAATAACTATAATATCCGTAGACGCCTAAACGAAAACATTCACACGTGCAGCTCGCAGAAATAAACCAGCACATACCACGAACAAAATATAATATTACTGCATTTACTGCAGCTGTGGCTGTCGTTGTTACAGCCACATAACTCCATATACGCGTTTACTGGGTCACGTGCCTGATTAGCCAATAAAAACAAAGGACGCATCTAACTGTTCGCTGTGAACACATTTTGTATATGTGGTTGCATATATTAAGGGACGTAGCTCGCGTCGTAATAAATAATAATATAAGCTCCCAGATTTATTTTAGCGCGAGTACATTTGAATTCTTTAAATATTTTGTTGATATTTAATATGATTAAATACATAAAATTTTATGTTCTGCAGTTCCGCAGCTCTTATGGTAAAACCGCCACTGAATAAGGGAGATATTGAACTTTGTCGCACTATTGGGCCGCCCTGTATTTATGAAGAGTATGTGTACGTGTAAAAGTTAATGAATTCAATACTGATTATCTCTTTCAAAGAAATAATTTGTATATAACAGAGCACTTGAAAATGACAAAAAGATAACAACGGTGTTGAATAATAATTATATACCTACGTAACATGAGTATGATATATTTCAGGAATTATTTATGAGAGAAAACTTATTTATATCGCAATGGAAAACGATATTTGTCACTGTGATTTTCTAAAAGAAAACTTTTAAAACTGTTTCTGTAAGTTTGCTGTTGATATTTATTCATGATTTATGTGATATTAAATTTAAATTAATTAAATTTGACTTACAATTTGTGTTGAATTAGAACAAAATAAAAACAACGTTATACGAGTTCCTAAACATCTAACACTCAATAATTTCACCACCAATATAAAGAAAAGCATTAGACTCCACAAAAAGAAACTATTTGTGTAATCCACCGATAACATTCTCCGGTTAAAAGCCAACAATGATGAATGCGGCGAGCAATCTGGCCTTATTTTTGAAACATTCGGCTTGGCAAGTAAAAATTCCGTATGAAAAAACAAAAACGGGCGACTAGGGGGTAAATAGATGATGAATGGACGTTTCCTTGGTACATTTCACACGACATTTGAAGGGGATGGAGCGAGTATTTTTTTGCTAAAACACGCGGAAAAATCTGATCCACATTTGAGTACACTTACGAACTTACAATTTTAAAGTGGCTTCAAGTGCATTTTTATTAATTCAATAATAACAGATATTTACTTATTCGGATATTCAATTATTTATTTACTTATTTCAATATATTTTTTTTATCTATAAAACGTATCAGTTATAAAATTAAGTTACATTTAAGACGATTGGGCAACCCAATAATGCACCATAATGGAGGTAGGTAAGTATTATTTACCAGTCGAGGAGGATTTTGCGCCCGAGCGGAGCGAGGGCTGGCAACAGAGTCCGAGACTGGTAAATTATACTTAACTGCTGCGTGGTTTATAACATTTTATCTGTCCCCACAGTTCTTTATGGTTCATGAAATGAAGACTAGGTTTTATTTTTTGACATTTCTTAATCAATTCATTTTGACATTATTCGAAATCTTTCAAAGTCGCCTTGGTTGTTTGGATTTTGTCGTTTCTACATTACCTACATAAAATTTGCAATTTTGCTGGTTTTGAATTATTATTTCTAAATGAGTGATTTTCAAATAGAAAGTGCAGCAAATGCTACCTGCGAATTTTTATTGCCCGAGAACTCGAAATTGCGCTACGGACGAGCATATAGAAATTTCAAAGAATGGTGCCAGAACAAAAATACTGATGTTTTTGAAATGTCACTGTTAGCATATTTCATGGAGAAGTAAAGGACTTTAAAGTCACCGGCGAGTTTGTAGAGTGAATACTCAATGATTAGGTCAAATATTTTCATAGAGGACAACGTGGATATATCAAAAAACTACAAGCTGAGAGCATTTTTGGAACGTAAGAATGACGGCTATACTCCTAAAAAGTCAAACGTTTTTACAAGAGAACAAGTCGACGATTTTCACGTTCAGGCACCCGATAACACATATTAGCTAATGAAGCTCTTAGGCATTGTAGGAGCATGCCGTTCTGATGAGTTATTCAAACTTACTTTGGACAATGTCAATTTCAAACATTTCGATGACATTATTGTAGTTACAATTCCAGATTCTAAAAATGGTATGTTGCGTTTACAATTACTTCTCGTCTGGGTTCTGTTTCTCACCTAGAAATTCTCAAGAAATATACCAAGATTAGATTGGAAATTAAAACTGAAATTTCAGGCTTTTTTATGGGCTATCAAGCAGGTAGATGTTATAACCAACCAGTCGGCAAGAATGCCCTTTCTATAATTCCTAATAAGATTGCACAGTTTTTGAAACTAGAACATCCTGAAACATATACAAGCCATTCATTCCGAAGAACATCGGCTACGTCGTTTATAAAAAATGTAGCCATAAATAAATTATACATCTCTTAATTTAGTTTTAAATCTTCCCTGATCCTCGATCCATGAAGTAAAAAACCATCTGACTGTTATTTAATTTTTAATATAACCAAATCTTGACGAATTCTTTTCTAATTAATTCGCAATTTATCTTTCCAAAAATGGAACAACATACAAAGTTCAGAATGCATGATAGAAAACAGATTATTTTAAAAATAATTATTACATACTTCATTTTTTTAATATCTTGAAATCATACATTCATTGTTTTCTATTTTTAAATTGTTTCTATGTAAAAAATGAATTACTTAAATGATATCCATTTTTATGAATTAAATTTGTAATTACTTACAAACATTAAAATAAACTGAAGAAGTCAGCGGAATGAATGATCAAGAACTGTTTAAAGAATGGAAGCGAACTTTTATGGAGGACTAAAAATTTGCATTCACTAAAACGGTCCTCAATTGAATAAAATTTTTCGTTTATAAAAGATATACCACCATAACCATACGTTGTTAAGGCCACTCAATCTGAGCCCCGTGTCCATTTGATGAAGTTAGTTGTTCATGTTCAAGGTTATTTGAAGGTCAATACTTGTTTTCTTTTTATCAGTTTTTTTTTATATGGAAAAAATGATCTCCATAAAAGTTGTCGTGCTCGTGGGAGACCATCACATGGTAATTTTATATTTGACCTTGAACTTAATTCAAT